GTGATAGGTGACAGAGGGTAGCGAACAATCGCATACAAGCTGCGGAAAAGAAGTTGCGAAAGGTGATGCCAAAATTCCAAGATGCCCCTCTGCAATGCATTGCTTTTGTAATTCCCGATGTTAAAAGGTCAAGTAATTTTCTGGATCATAAACTTTTCTCTCTCTTGTTCAAACCTATGCCTTTACAAGTTACAACCCAACCGTGATATCAATTTTAACAATTATTAACATAATAACTTGTTATTTTGAAAATAAAATAATCATCATAATATATAATAAAACTTTGAATCTTTATTTAATTAAATAATCATTTAAAACGTTATTTTCAAATTATAAAATTAATTACAAATTGTTATGTTATTTATTATATTATAGTTGTATGGGTGAGTTTAAACAAGAATATTATTAGTTTACGAAGATTTTCATATTACATTTGATAATACATGTGGTAATGCGTGTGCGACTTGGTCCACAACCCAAGTCATGCTAAAGACTGTGTATATATAATTTAGTATGGCATATGATGGATTACAATATCATATGCGATATAGATTTCTCACATTTTTATAAAATTATGGTGTTCTTATATGAACTTACTCCTATGCTTATATTTGTGTAAATAGAAAAATAGTAGACTATAGATTTGGTCCCTGTGGGTTGTCGGAAATAGCACTTTTCGTTCGTACAGTTTCACAATTGCAATACGGCCATCGTGGCATGCAAAAATGTCTTGATTTGATCCCTCCATTTAACAGCTGTTAACTGGAGGCATTTTTGTCCTTTTATCGATTTTTTTGTCTTTTACCCGATTAAAATCAATTTTATGATTTTGGTCCATGTGGTTTTGATTGAGTTAAAGACAAAAAAAATTCAGTAAAAAGGACTAAAATTTCCTTTCTTTAACAGAATTTTATAACGACCGTTAGAGGGAGATTAAATCCGGATGTTTTTGCATACTATGATGGATGGCCATCTTCGCATGTAGGCATTTGAAGACAAGGGTGAGTAAGGGGCCGTTTACTAAACGCTTACCCGGTAAGTACTTACCGGATAATTTTCCTCACTGGATGAACATGGCAAGGGCCAAGAATCTTACCCGGTAAGAACGAGGATAAGGATGGAGAGTCTTACCCGGTAAGTAAGGGTGACGGCTCTTACCCGGGTAAGCGCTTACCAAGAAAATTGTTTTACGGAATACGTTTTGATGTACTATAACCTTATCCAATAAAATAAATTATAGTGTTGACTCCTAACAGTAAGCACTTACCAGGTAAACATTTAGGTAAACAACCCCTAACACTTACGACTTGGTGCTTGTAGGACCAAGTAGAGTTCAAGCATATGGCAAGATAAGCGTGGAACATAGCTCATGTGTTATTAGAACAAAAGTACACACATACAAATGTGTATATATAGGGTCTAATTAAATAAGAACTCAGTAATATGTGATAACTGTGAGATCTAATTTGCGTGTACTATAAATTTAAGTAATTAAAGCTTAGAATTAATTTTTTTAGCAGTTATCTATCATTCATGTGGTTACCATAACAACTCACGCTTTTGAATTCCCTCAATTTCTCAATCCGTTACCTTTTTTGTCTCTCTCAAACATTCAATTGTTATAATCCATCAAAATAAAAAAAAAATTGCAAACTATTTTCTAGTATAGATGATTAAACAACGGATTGGATATTTATCAATTTGTGTTTCATAAACCTTTCGAGCAACCAAAAACGATGAACTCCAACATCGAGTGTATCACAGCTTCTATCACGATGTATCACAACTTGTACCACACTGTATCACATTGACATTGTTTACAAAATCTATCACAGTGGTAATATTCATAGTGTTCATAGAGTTTCTTGAGGTTATAACCAGTGGTAATGTATCACAATGTATATCACAAGGGATATAGAGTTTTTTGAGGGTATTACAGTGATATTGTATCATATATGAGTTTGAAACTGGTAACATTCATCGACATGAGAGATTTACAAGAAAAGTACTCTACCCTTAAATATTATCTATAAATTTTAAGTGTTTGAAAATTAATGGATAATTACCAAAATCAACATTATTAATATTAACCATTGATTATTAATAATAAAAACTTGAGACTGGATCTCACAATTATCACAAATTATTGAGTTCGCCTTTGAATGACCCTACACAAACATACATACATATATCAGTTTGTTCTACTCCCTCAAAGTTCGAGTAATCGGTTATTTATTATTGCCTCTTGCGTGTAGCTCAATCAGCAAAAGGGTGGAGCGACTTTACCTAAATAGAAGCAAGGTCTTGGGTTCAATCCCTGCCCCCGACCTTAATTGCTTAGTGAACCAAAAATGCCCCTTCATATTAGTGTCTTTGGAAGCGGGTTCCGTATGGAGTCGGCTGAGATTGACGGTAATAAACTTTTTACCCAAATATGTTATTTGTTTTTATTATTTTGATTGTTGCAATCATTCAAATACAAAATTTTATTGTAAAATCTAGTTAATAGTATACACTATTTTGGGTTTATGTGTGAATATACACAATCTAAGGTTGTGAAAATAAATTATATGTGCAATGTTTGACAACCATAATTTAGATTAAAGTAAATTATGGGTCCCTATGGTTTTAAATTTGTTTTGGAATTGGTCCCCATAATTTGTTTATTCCAAGATAGCCCCTAAAATTTGCATTTTGCATAACACATTGGTCTTTACCACTAACGGTTGTTAACTTCGATTCGTTAAATGATGGGGCTTTTTGGTCCTTTCCTGTATTATTTCATTTTTCTCATCTAAATAAATATAGTTTATTTATTAATTACATATAATATATATAAATATTGATTACATAATATATATATATATATATATATATATATAAAGACTTATTATCCACACCCCTTTCAAGATATCATCGGCCACTGCACCTTCAGCCTCACCCCACCAACATTTGTCGGTCCCCAATATCATCATTGAATTCAAGCACCACATGGAACTACGCTTTGGTGATCCAAGCACGAAAGCATATTATTTCCCTTCTCCTCCTCCTCCTTCTCTCTCTCTCTCTCTCTCTCTCTCTCTCTAAATCGACCATTTATCACTGTTGATCCAAGACCCAATCGTTTCGTTCCTAAACGCATCCCTCCCTACATCATTCCTGAACAACCTTGATCACTAGTTCACTTTCTTTCGTATCGGAACAGGGTTCTAATCCATGGCCACTAGTTGTATTCTACATATCATTAGCTAGGCTTCTCGTCCCTGATATTTTGATTTTGAACTAATTGTTTTCATCTTCAAAATCTGTAAGTTTAGAGGTAAGATTATATTTGGCTTTCATTTTAGTGTTTAGTTTATGGTCTTTTACTTGGATTGAAGGCCTTTAATTTAGATTATGGTATTAGAAACAATTTCATGATGTACAACTTGGTGATAATGAAATCAAAGTTTTTGTACATTTTGTTCATCTTGGATGTGTTTATAGTGTTTATACATCTTCTTCCTCTTCAAATAGTGATTTTGTATTTGTAGAGGTGGTTTCAATGGTGATGTGTGGTGGTTTAGATGTTGTTAATGGTGGTTTTGAAAACGGTAGGTGGTGGTTGAACAATGGTCAGTCGTTGATAGTGGTCAGTGGATAGTGACAATTAGATGGATTTTGGTTTTTGATTTTGAGATTTTGTTATTGGCAAAGATTTGATTTTTATTTTGAGGCATATATTTGGGTAGGAATTTAAGTATTTCTCTGTGTTATGGTTTGTCGTGGTCGAAGATGGGTTAACGGCCATAGAAGATGTTTGGTAATGGGTTTGGCCGGAGAAGATCATATGGTGTATTTATTTTTAATGAGCAAAGGACAAATAGAAGGAAAGGACCAAAAAGCTCCTCACTCAACAAATGAGAGTTTACAGCCATTTGTGGTAGGGACCAATGTGCTACAAAAATGCAAAATCTAAAGGTTATTTTGGAATAAACAAATTATGAGGACCATATCTAAAACACATTTAAAACCACAGGGTCCAAATCCGTATTTGCTCTTTCGATTATTTATTAAAAAAATTATGTTGGAATGGTAATAAACTAGCTTATCATGGGTTCTTTTTAGCTAAATAGCATTCAGTTAACGAATAAAACCTAAAACTATAAATATTAGCATTAAGATTATGTTTGGTTAGAGATATTAAACAGTAATCAATTAGAATAAAAATAAAAGACACTGTTTGGTTTTCTATAATATAATGAGCTCATTTATCCAGAAATCCAAAATTTTATTTCTTGTTAAACTATGAGGGATGAAAATTCATTTCAATTTTCATTTCATGTTATTTTCATTTTTTTTCCCTCACCGTTAAACAAAAAGACACTAAGGGGTTGTTTGTTTATCTTTTAATAGTTCCGTTAAGAAGCAGACTCTGAATCGTTAAAAGGTAAATCTTGTTTGACAAAAAAAAATTTGTCTCTTAATGGTTTCAAAACCCTTTGAATGATTTTGTAACCTAAGCCTCCCATAACCATTAAGCACCCTAATTTTATTGTAAACACTTAGCAAACAACTATATTTTATTTTGTACTACATCATGAGAGTCTTTTAATCATTCTAACAATTTAATTATTCTGCACTAAACTATTCAGCAATCGGGAAACAGACCGGAAATGAAAATGAAGATTCAATGATGAAGGGAAAGAAGAAAAAGAAAGGGTAAAGCAATGAAGTGAGTTTTTAGGCAGAAAAGAGAAAACACAAATGCTACTTGAAAGAGATAGAGAAAGAATGAGCAAGAAAAAGACGTTACCCCAACTGGCCTACCACCACCCCACCCACCCCATAAACATCCAAATTCTCAGACACCTTTCCCTATCATCTCTCTTTCTCCCCTCTGTACCCAAGAATCTTTTCTTCCCATCCCCACTCTCACAAATCAACATTGCTTCACACTTCTCCCTTCCTACACTTCCATTCATTCATTCATTCATTCATTCCCACCTCTTGCTTTTAACATGAAATTATTCTCTTTTCTTACAGTCTTGATCATCTGCTCATTCTTTGATCTGGCTCGCTCTGGGTTACTGGCCGAGCCGGCACAGCCGTTGAAACCACCCGACGACTCTACTCCCAATACGGTTCCTTCATTCCCGGTCCAGACTGAATCAGAACTATGCCGGTTAGATTTATCGGATGAGCTATTCGGCGGTGTAAACGCTGCCTGTGGTCGTAACCTCGATAGAAGCAGGTGTTGTCCGGTGCTCGCAGCGTGGCTATTCGCGGCACACGCTCGGTCGGCGCTGCAGGTGAATGCTTCGGTTCCAGCGTCTTCCGATGAAATGCCGATGATGCCTGACGACTCTCAGAACTGTGTTAACTCATTACAAAGTTCGTTGCAGAGCCGGAACATCCATATACCTCAACCTAACTCCTCATGCGACGCCGTATTATGCTTCTGCGGGATCCGACTACACCAGATTGGTTCACTCAGCTGCCCAGCGGCGTTCAATATCACGACGACGTCTCGGAATGCAACTCCCACCGCTGCCGTCAGAAACCTTGAGAAGAATTGCCGGAATTCATCTTACGCCGGTTGCACAAAATGTCTCGGAGCTTTGCAAAAGGTCAACTATTTTCAACTTTCCCTATGCGACCACTTTTTCTACTATACTTTCCACGTTGATTGACCACAATACGCTTTTCACCATTTTTTTTTAAGTTTCTAACCTTTTTGTTTGCTTTTAAATTGTCACTTTTGAAAATAAATAAAAACACATCGTAATCGGCAATAATGTTCAAAATCAATTATACAAAAATATTATTTGTATAATATAATTGGACCACAATATTTTATTTTATTTTTAAAATCTCTTTTGTCTAACAAAAATCACAACTTTTGATTATCATTTAAAAGATAAATTGTCAAAATTAATAATTATTAATATAAAAACTATGTATTTATTTGATCAATGGGACTTTTTTGTAATTTAAAAAAGATAAAAAATTGTTTGGGGTGAAAAGAGACTAAAATGTCCTTGTTGAATGATTGGATGTTATAGCTAAACGAGGGGGGCAAAAACGGAACAAGAAAGAGGCATCACGAGGGGGGTGATAGGGCGAGCAAGATATTGACACGGGACTGCCAGCTAATGGGGCTAACCTGGCTGCTAGCAAGGAACAAGACGGCGTACATACCCACAGTGTCTGCTGTATTACGCGCCGTCATGTACAGTGCGCACCCACCCCACGAGTCCAGATGCAGCCCCGATCAGGAGAACATGCCCTTGGCCGTCGATTCATTACAGTTCGAGAAATCGGAGGCTTCTGCGTCACGTGCCGCTTTTCTTTTATTGACAGTATTACCCCTGGTTCTGTGGTTTTGTCATTTTGATTTGTGATGGATGGATAAAGTGCATGTTACCTGCCTGCTGCTACGGCTTTTGTTTTTCCTCATTTGTGGATTAGAGACCGCATCACGTGAGAGGTTCGGGGATACTTTTGTCTTTTTGCCTCGAGAGGGTACATGTGTATTATTGGGACTTTTGGGTTCTTGGATTGTAGTTAGTTGCCAAGGAATTTTCAATTCTTCTTTTAACTATTTAAATACTTGGAAAATGTTATAATTAACTCATATATTAGAAAAAGTTGTCATCCTCTCTTTGTATTTCTTTTTTTTCTTTAACTAATTTTTTGAGATAAAATAAGTAATTAAATAAGCATATTACTTTTTTCAGAAAATGTTGGTTCTTAGCTAACTTACATGTATCGACTAATCTTCGAGCAATCAAAATAACCTAGATTCATCACAAGTGAATCTCTATGGCAAAAGGGATTTGTAGATAGGCATGGTGATATGGCCCGCTCCATTGGCAAACCCGGTTCACATCCGGGATCCCGAACATGTTGAAAACCAAGGCCAAATAATTTATTCCCCAACCCATCCCGTTCCCATATGTATCTATATTAATTAAAAGTACATCTTTTTTAATGTGTTATATAATATAATATTTTCAAACAATTTTGTTCATTATTGTTGAATCGGGGGTAAACTGGGGATAGACCCGATAAAAGTTGAGGAGGGGATTCGTTTCCCCATACCCGCTGGAGATCGGGGCCGGAAATGAGGTAGTGGAGTCACGGACGGGGTCGAGGATTGCATTCCTCGCCCCATCCTGCCTAGTTGCCATGCCTAGTAAGCTGCAACACAAGTGGTTAATTCAATATACACCCATGAATCAATGTATAACAAGTGTTAAGAGTTTGCATTATATTGGGTTAGGTTTCCATGAGACCATATTGTTTTTGTTAGAATCATGAGATCAACTGTGATGGCACAAAAACACATTGATTGTTCACAGCTAAAACACTATAAAAATATAAAAACAAGCATTCATTGTTTTTGTTTTGAAGGTCCAATATTTTTTTTGTATCTTTATAGTGTTTTTATTGTAAAAGTTCAATATTTTTTTTTTTGTATTTTCACAATGTTGTTTGTTGTGAATGTTCAATGTATTTTTATGGTTTCACATGTCTCACATGAATCCAAGTTTATGTTTAAATATGGAGTGTATATACACATTTAAAATTTTAAGCTATGAACGTTTTTTTAAAATTCCACATATTATGTGGTGTAATTCTAATTGTCTTATTCAGATATTTTAAAGTTATAATACTTATATTAAACTCTTATAATAAGATGAACAAATAAGATTTGTATATCATGCCTCAATTTTAGAAAGTAATGATACCATAATTTGCATACACACACACGTTTTACTTTCGGGTCTTGATGACTTGCTTCAAGGTACATGATTCAAAATCTGTCAACTTCACAAACAAAGAAAACGTAAGAACTGTCATGATCCATGATGTCTTCACTATGAAATATAAATGATCAAGTTAGTGATTGAGAATCACATTTGCAAAGAGGGATTTAGGTATTCAATTGATTATGAGGTGAGAAGTTATGTTACCCTTAATTTTCGATGATCATTTTGTATTTTTACTATGTTTTATGCTACATCAACATGTCCAGTGAAACGAACCCAAAAATGCTAATGAGGTGTTACGCTTTGCACGAAACATGGGTTAACATGCATGGTAACACAGACTGTCACAATGGAAAGAAAATTTTAACCATTTATGTATGTTTTTATTTCTTAGAACAATATACATAGTTAGTAGAATCCTTTACAACTATAATAAAAATAAAAAATAAAAAACAATAAGATTAATGTAATTCCCAAAAACGAGAAGGAATGTAAATATTCGATAGGGGCTGAGCATGTTGGTCTCATTTGTTTGTAGAGAATCTTGTTATCACGTTGTTTTACCATTTCCATTTTAAAATTAGACAACAAATTTAAACCAATCGTAGTATTCTTTCTAATATTCATGATATTTAAAATATTAAACCAATTAACATATTATTTAAAATGACAAAAGGAACGCATTTGAAGGAGACAATCGCGGTTGAATTCTTGTTTGTTTCCCACATTCCGATACTGTCCAACCCATATTTCTTATTTTAATTTATCAATTTTGGCAATTTATTTTAATTCGCTGTTAGAAATCTATTTTTTCCTTGAGAAATTTACTGACAGGTTATTTTTATCAAAATTTATCGAGGGATTTTCAATGGTATTATGATTTTTGTCGAGCATAGAGCTCTTCATGAAACAATATAACTCAGTAGACCTGACATGGTATGTCTAAACTATTTTATCTAAATACCGTCGACTACATTTTAATAAAAAATAAAGACCTGAGATGGACTCTTATAATTAACGGAGGGTCCGAATTAGACCACTAAAATAAATGAACAAGACTAGCAATGAATTTTTTTGACACACCCGCCTAATCCGTTTATATTTTTCTATTAACTAAGTTATATATATAATTAATACTTAATTAATTTTTTTATTATAGAAACTTTAGAAACTCATTTGATTGGCTTTGGATTTGTCTTTCCTATGGGTGATCAGCTGTCCAATTGGTCTTATATAGCAACCTTTTTATCGGGTTTGATAGCTTTCCCTTTTCTGCCTATAAACAGGTTTGTCCATGAGTTAACGAAGTTTTTATGTTTTAAAAAAAAACAAAACTTATATCAAATCATAAATTATATCAAATAATGCAAAGTTTATAATTATATTTTTAAGCTTATAATAAGAAATAAAAGTATAAGAAATTTATATAACTTAGTAAAGAAAATTCGCATAATATAAAATATGGATGTTTTCTATTGAAGAATTTATCCATTTCTAGAGTGCAATTCTTCAACAACTAAATATTTTATCACCTAAAAAATAGTAAAAGTGGGAATTCAAAAATGTGATCAAGGAAACGATAATTAAGTGGATTGATCGTAATTATGTTATTCACCAAGAATCATCAAATTTAAGTGAGATCCCTTTGTCCATAAGTTCTATTTTGATTTATAAAATTTAATTATTAATAAATAAAATGACTATAAACATTAACCGGTCGGACTGAGTATATCCAATTTATTTGTATTTCTCATACCCTCCAATTAATTTTAACAATTCAGTTTAGGCCCGTTCATTTATTCAAAAAATAGTTGTCTAAATCCATTTTTCTAACGAGTTGGACGGGTCGAGTCTGACGGGTTATCTCACTAGTGAACAACTCTATCTACCAAGTCAAAACTACCTCCCAAACATGTACTACATGTGGTATGTCATACGTACGTCCCAAATATTGATTCTTAAATATTTGGTTGGTGAAAATCCATGCTTTGACGGTTGAGGAAATGTCCCATATTCCATATTTTGTGAAACTATATTTTTGTTGTTAAGCTATGTAGATTATTATGTTTTTACGTCTTATTTTAATTTGTAAAAAATATATATTTTGAATGATTTACATCTAATTTTTTACAACTTCTTTATTTTTTCTAAATGTAATTTTTTGGGCCTGCTGGCTAACCCGACCTGATTATAGGGTGGTATAGACAAATTGTCAATCCCGGAAAAAGAGTGTGAGTTTGCATGAATATTTAGACCTCTTAGACCTTAAAAATGAGGTTAAGCTTGCTCCTAGAGTTGGCTAAACTTGGTTCAAACCGATCCTAGTCCCAATCCTAGGATAAGATGTTTCAACTGGGCCTACCAGTCTAGGTTTCAGTCCCAAGGAAAAAAAAATTAGGGTTGATCCCAGGCCCGACTCCTAAAGTTGGCCAAAAATCTGTTTTGGCAAGTCGCAGTCCCAATCCAAGGGGAGATGTTGCAACTGAGCCTATCCACTATGATCTCGGTCCCGAGGTAAAAAGAATTAGGACTGATGTTAGGCCCGGAAACCGGTCCCAATCCTTCTTAGTTGGTCCTAAATCATTTTACATTTTTAAACATCTATTGCAATCCGTACTTGGGATTTACTAATTGGCTATGTAGCTACTAGCTACACCATATGTAAATAAAATCGATCTTCAATCTCCTATGTTTTCGTTTCATTTTTAATGTCTTCAATCTTTATCACGTATTTGTCATGTTTCTTCTGTCAATGGCATCTTCATTTTTTGTATGGATCATTTGCTTTGTGGGGTACGTTACCAGAATTGTTGGATGCCATTTTTGAAGTATGTACTAACACAAAAAACGAGAGAAACAAAACTATAGTAGAAGTAAGCAAACCAAAATAAAAAATTAGTCAAAATCACGAATTAAAAGGAATATTAACAGCATTTTTTGTTTTTACGTTTGTGAATTTGATATCATCCCCAATGCATGTCATAACTTGTCTTGATCCGGGGATATGAACCCATTGATACCCGTCAACACCCATTAAAAACCATTAAGACTCTTTACGACTTACTAGAAGCCATTACAACCCATTACATTTAGTTCAAATGTGTATTAATGATTTTTAATGTACCTTAACAGATTGTAATGGATTTTTTTTATTAACCTGAATATCCAACCCACTATGCGAGCCGACTAATCCCAGAACGACCATCTGCTTTGCAGATAGCCTGGAGTCACCACATTTGAACCTCCGTAGCCACAAGAGGATTTTTATTCCTCCACAAAGGGATTGTAATGGATTTTAATGGTCCTTCACGGGTTCTTCTAGGTTTTACTAGGTTCTAATGGAATGTTATGGTCCTTTTTTTAAGCGTGTCCCAAGTATGTCCAAACTAGTTCAAACAAATTGCAACTGTAAGACATTAACCTTGATAAACTCAATGCCATAATTGTTGTGAATGTATGGAATTGAAACCAAGGGAGTTGGGAATTGAGATATTCCACCACATCTCCCTGGGCTTCTACCACTATGCCACAACCCTTGCAGTTTTGTCGTTGTCCTTTGTGGGTAATAATGAGCTTTAATGGGGTTCAATGGGTTGTAATGGATTTTAATAGATTGTGACGGAGTTTCATGGATTCAAATAGTTGTTAATGAGTTGTAATAGATTATAATCGTGGCCAACCAATTTATTTTCACCAACATTACAACAACATATAAGTCGAGAGAATGATCTGTTGGTAATTCGTGGTCCCATATTTTGTTTTCCAAAATAAGATGCGACTTTAGGGACGTATTATCAACAAATATTGTCGTTGGTAATTTTGGTAGGTTGTAGGTATACACTACTAACTAGATCATTCGTCAAGGATTTTTGGTGT